GAAACATGCGGATGTGTAACTTCATGGGACCTTTGGTCTGCGATCGTTTCTTGAATAACCGATATGGCATTGAACCTCTTGTGGCGGCTGTACACGTGTATCTTGTGGTGAAATTCTTGGTGGACCATGAAATGGACTTGCCACTCTTTGCGTCTGACTTTTCAAGAGAGTCATCATTTCGGCCAACTGGGTCTCTTACATGCTAAATCAACTCTATGTTACATATTGAGGTGCAGCAGTGGATCTTGACCCCGGGCGACGAATTTCAACTCTATAGTATTTCCGACCAAATGCGTATAACTCATGGTTCAGTGGTTCCCACAGACGACGCCAATGAAATAGTTAAGATACGACCCTCTAAATTCCTGGACTGAATGCGATGTCTTTTGCTACTCCGATGAACCTACAAAAAAGAGGTTGGGGCTTCCTCCCCCATTTTACCTCTGACGTGAATTAGTGATTAAATAATGAATGATCTTAAGAACAGTAAAATCACCTAGAAATTTTTTTTTCTTTGTTCGGGAGAAAAGAAAAAAGAGAAAGAGCCTAGTGGCACGCTTATAAGGTATTTATAGGTGTTTGGCATCGTGTAACTGCTAGGCAGCTATCTATGGGTCCAATACTGAACTCCACTCAATAGACGATTTTCACCCACTTGCTAAGTGGTTAACCTCTATCTACAAATTAAATTGTGGACTTGGTGATAACCTTCAAATGATTTTAAATCAGTTTCAAGGATGTCCGGGCGGTTTGGGCACTAATGATCAGCCTAGCACAGCAGCAGTCGAGCCGACATAGCAGTAGTCAAGCTAGCATAGTGATAGTCGATCTTATCATAGCGGTGGCCAAATAAGCATAGCGTGTCAGGCTAGCATAACGATAGTCGAGCTATCATAAAGGTAGTCAAACAAGCATAGCGATGGTCAAGCTAGCATTACAGTGGTCTCCCTATCATAGCAGATGTTATCTGACTTAGCGGGAGTTGCCTTCACTCGATTGGTCATCGTTGTCCATTACTTGAACCATATAATATCAACAATAATATAAAATTTGAAGACTATAAGAATAATATTCAAAATTACCTCGATACTTGTACTTTCTTGTGTGCTAACTCCAACTAGCATGCAAGCATCCTGTTCAATTTTTGCTTAAGATTGAAGGTAAATAAAAATTATAATTACTTTCGTTTGTAAATGATAATTATTTAATAAATTTGAATAATCATATGTAATCGTGTACCTCTATTTTTTATACTTGTTTCTTTCATTTTTATCTTCACACTTTTTCTTCTTGGAAACAAACTATTCTACGTTGGAGACCTTTCTATTCTTAGGTGGATGCCCATGTCTTCGAATAGCTAGAGGACTACGAAGTCCATTGCTTTCACCAGAAGCTCTACATTGAGCCAAAAGCATTAGTAATTGGCAAAGAACAACTCTTCAAAGTTGATTCATTCTTACTTATTGTTGATTGAAATCCGTCAATCATATTGGACAATAAAGCACAGTTCTTATCAGAACTGATAGCCAAGACAACAACATCATCTAATTTCTTTTGCAACTTGTAATAATGCTAAGCCTTAATGTCACATTTCCAATCATCATAAGTAACTTTCACCTTTGTGTGAGTTCTTTTTAAATCCTTTCTCCAATGTGCCAAGATATATTTTTCTAGAACTTTTTGCATACCACCTTGTTTGAGCCACTTTATCGTAGAATGAGAATGAAAAATATAGCCGTTATTGGAGCCCACACAAGAGATAGAAAATTTGAATTTAAATATTGATGTGATGGATAACAGTCATATTTTTCATTTTAATGAGATAAAAAAGTGGCCCAAACAGGGGTCTAGTTTTAAACGGACCAATAAAATATGCTTGAATAAGATCCCTCTAAATCCAAACAATCGACAAGCCCATTTAACCTCTTTTTCCTCTTCATGCAACAAACTGTGAAATGAACTTTTTTATGTCTATCTCCGGCAACATCAAATAACCCATTTTTCTCAAATACACAAGAAACTTCACAATATAATTTACCTGACAACTCTTTTTGAAATTCGCTGAACTTTGAATTAGTGTACACAATCTGAAATTGCTTTTCTATTTCATAATGTGTAACACATGGAATCGTTGTAGCAAAAGATTGAAAATCTTCACGAGTTTCCTTTTCAATCTTGCTTCTTAAAGCATTATCATATTGCTCGACAAATTGTTTCAGTATTGTCTTTGAGTTTACGTAATCATCAAAGAATGCATTTATACTCTTGCTTTGTCGTGTTGTGACATACCAACACAAAATGTGTCCTTCACAAATGCAGGAATCCAGTGATACCTATCTTTATACATATTACCAAACCACACATTTTCACAAAGATTGAACTCACTAATGAAATGCTCCTATTTTCCTTCTTTCTCCAAAGATTCATAAACAACATTATGCAAAGCATCTTTATTTTCCGTACATCTTATAGCCCCTTAACTTTTCTAGTACATTTTTCATTATATGCCATAGACACCAACGATGAGGAATGTTAGGAAACACAATCTCAACCGCTTTTTGCATTTTTTTTTATCTTGATATGTAATTATGGCACTCAGTAAACGTCCAACATACATGCTTTTCAAGTACAAAACAACCAAATGAATGTTGCAATGTCCTCTTCCGGTAGTAAGCAACATCCAAATAAAATTGAGTGTCCATGGTGGTTCACACCCACAAAAAGTGCAAAAGGCACTTCATACTTATTTGTCAAGTAGGTTGTATCAAATGAAACCATATTGTCAATTCTTCATATGCTGCCATACTCATCAGCCCAAAAGATGTTTCTAATTCGAGCATTGTCATCTACATCCATCATATAAAAGAACTTGAATTATTTGCTTGCATCTAAACAAAATAATTATGAATTGCTTCGGCATCTCCAATACCAAGTCTCAATCTTCTTCTCTTATAAATATAATTTCTACAATCTTTTTTCCAAAGAGAGGACATTATCATGACCCCAGCTTCCACTACAAATGATTGATAATTCTTTACCACACCATGTGGAATGGACATGATACTTTAATCTTCACATTTGATGCAATAATAAGAAGGCTAATTAAGAATTTGATTACAGTGACTAAATGCATTTTTTCAGATACGTGATCAAAATTTCGACAATTAATAAAGATCCCACAACTCATGGGAATCAAGAAGGCAAATTTGAGGGGAAAAAAAGTAGTGACGGTCAATCTCTAGTTTGTAGATTGAGTACCGATTTTTTGTTCATTGCAATGAATCAATTTTTTAACAGCATTTTTAATGGTAAATAACTTCACAAACTGAAGGATCACACATATAATTTTATCTTGATACAATGATAGATATCTGACACCAATTTCTTGTTGATTACAACATCGACGATCAACTATCGAGATACATTGACGACCAATATTCTGTGGATAGCAGACGCGGTTAGGGGTGGCAACGAGTCAAAATTTGAAGCTTTGTCTTGACTTGAGCAAAATGGATTCGGGCTTTTTTTGGTCCGGGCCGAGCAAAGGCTCGGAAAAAAATTTGAGGCTCGGGCTTCAACGAGTTGGTCTGATTTTTTTAATTATTTTTATATATAACACAAAGACAGCAAAAGCTCGGGCCTCAACGAGCCGATCTTCCTAAAATGGAGCTCGGATCTAGCTTCAGCCCCAGCCGGTTCGAGCTTCTTCAGGCTGAGCCATGGGCGGCCCAAGCCGGCGAGACAAATAGACATCCATAGATGCAGTGATTGATCTTTGGCTGTTTGGAGAGAATCCATCAATTTGGGAGATGCGATTTGAAAAGACGTAGGTTGAGATTTTTGGGAAGATGAAAGAAATGTGTGAATAGAGAATCAAAAGTGAGCCGACAGATTCCTTTTTTTAATTCGTGTAATTAAAGAGTAATGCCACATAAATGCCATGAATATTGTTACTCTTTACGCCATTTTAATTAGGGGAGTAATACTATTTATCATCGTAATAATAGAAAATCGATGATTTGAGAGACAACGTCTCCTCCCATGCTCTCTCATAAAAATTGAATTGTTTAATCTCATTATTTCATTTTAACTATCGTATTCAATCATCATAGTAATAAATAGTATTAGCATTATTCTAATTAGGGTCGCGAAGATCATTCGTTGCCAATATCATCTTTTTTATATGCATCAAGCGCTATGCCCACTTCAGGGGAGAATGAGACCATATTTTCCGTCTTGTTCTGGGACAGTTTCACTAATTACTTCTTTCAACGGTTGAAAGTATTTGACTTTCACAAGTCAAAGCAATTGTAGTTTTTTGAAATTTTGATATTACTATATTGTTCACTTAATTGTTGACTAATTAAAAGTTGAGGAGACACAATTTAGTCCAAAGTGTGATGTTTGTATATACCAGTACTAATTAAATTTTATCAAAACCACTTAAAAAGTGAAACAACTAATCACATTTATGGAACTTACTAAGTAATTATTAATCACGAGTGCTTAAGCTCACAAAAATAAATAAATAAATAAATAAATAATGGGTACAATCCAAATGTTGAGTTACCGTGCACTTGTGATGTGCCCCCAAAATTGGCTAAAGTCACGTTTATCAAATGACAATTTTGTTTGTGGATGGAGTTAATTGGATCTTGACACTTGGCATTTTGCTGCCGTTTGATTGCTTTCGGGATGATTCCTGGGGTTCAATCTTTGGTGTTTCATTCTAGAGCCCGTTTAGTACATATTAAAATGACATAATTCATTTTTTGAAATGATGTGATGGAAGATATGTGGTTGAAAAAGAAAGAAAAGTTATTGATGTGATGAAAAATATTATTTTATTGAAGAAAGTGTTGTTAAAAATGAATAAAACAATGAGAATGAAAAAAATAATATCTGATTGAGTTCATTTGGCTTTAGTTCTCAGAGAAAATTACGACTCTCATAAAAAATCCACTAACCCGATGCTTCTCATTTCCATTTCCTCTCTCCAAATGAAGCTAGCTGAGAGAAGAAATGCGATATTCCTCTCTCCCACCATTTCAATTTTCCTTCTCATCATAATTTCATTGGCACCGTATTCCACTCTCAGCATCAGATTTCCAGATCAGATCTCCGAAATTTCAAATGAGCCATCCAATCAGCCTTTGAAAACAGCCATTTTCGCCCTTGGCAGCTTCTGGAGGTCGGAGGCAGTCTTTGGATGCTTGGACGGCGTTGTACGAACCACCGCCGGTTATGCCGGCGGATCAAAAGTGAATCCGGAGTACCGAAGCTTGGGCGATCACGCCGAGAGTGTGCAGGTTACCCATCTTATTTTACTTTCTCCGCAATAACCTGTGAATCTGTTCATTGTTATATATATTTCATTTTAATTTTTGAAGAAGAAAATGAAATATTTCGTTAATTTGCTGCAAAATCGTAGTTATTTATAAATTGGTAAAATGAACGTTAACTAGTATTTATCATGATTAAGAATGGTTTAGTTGGCTAAGTTTCTGATTTCAATTGAAAATGCTGAAAATTACTGTTCTGTGAAAAGTAATTTCTAGTCGAATGAATTTGGAGTGTGAATTGCGTGATTTTTAATAAAGAGGAAAGGCTGTGCGTTTATATGTTAAAGAAAAATATAAAATGGTTTTTCTGCACATCAAGGGAAGTATAGAATATTAGAAACTTGGACTTTCCCTTATTTTCTACGTTGTTGCTGCACTACGTAATCAAGAACGGTCAATTAAGGGTGAAATTGCACGATTCATTTAATTGTACATTGCTAAATAGCATTACTCTGTAATCAATGGTTATATATTACGAAGTTTTATATCTTTGGGCGACAAAAACATAATTTCTGAAGGAATGGTTAATTCTTCTATCCACCTTCATAAATATTACTTGTCATTGTGTACTTTGCTAATTGATTCTTGAAATGTTCATAAATATCCCCCCTTGTTGCCTTGGTGCAAGTATTGAAATTGGAAATACTACGATTTGAATTGATTTCGTGAATTTTGTTGTAGAACCCTGCACATACCATCCAAAACTTATCCTTGTAGATTTATTTTAAATTAAAATTTTCTTCTATAATAAATTAAGCTTTTAGATAAGATGGTTTAACCGTGGGCAAAAGTCACGAGTTCAAGTTCTCATGCTGTTCAACTATAAGATTTATGTACATGTAAGGCTTTGATGAACAGATAAATTTGCTTGCACATGAGGAATTGGGAGTATTGAAGACATAATTTAAATATATAATTTAGTTACTTCTATAGAAATTTAAGCTTTTAGATGAGGTGATTCAACAAGATGTGTTTTGTCCACAAAATATAAATGGTACAGATCTTGTTAGGTCAGGATAAAGGGGATGGGATCAAGAAGAGTCTCATATCTGAACTTAATCTGTCTCTGGCCAACTTTAGGGTGTGTCTTTTTGGTATTGAAAATCTGCTGCAGAAGCACATAGAAACATGGCTTTAAAGATAGTTTATTCGATGTTCCCAATAAGAATATCTTAGCCAAGCTTAGAATATGTTTGGATCCAATTAATATTATTTTATTAACATTTTGGATATGCACACTTTTAATTAAGTTAAATCAATTTTCCAAAATTAGTAGTGCTAGAGACTCTATAAAATTTGCTAACATGCAGTTACGAGTAAATAACCACTGGTAGCTTGGTCATGGGCCTTAAAACCCATAACAAACCTAGTTGCTATAAGATTTTGTGAACACGCATGTTCTTGGTCCTATTCACCAAATGCTTATTAATCATGTATCAACTTCACTATGGAAATATGATTGTACTCTATTACATGAAAACTACATTTACTTAATATAGTTATTTTACTTTGTCCTTGACCATTTAATTATTATGTATTGCCCTATAAACTGCCATTAATAATCTAAAGTAGAAAATATTAACCTCAATGATTACATGTTAACATTCCTGTGTTCCTATCAAAATCATTAGATTAATGAAACAAGTCTGAGTTTTATTCGAACTACTATGTACATAGATTTCATGATCACATTCATTAGGCTCGTTTAAGAGGATATTTTGTCTGTCCATGAGATTTATTGAGTGATATATTCCAATAATATATCAAATATTCCATTGATATCTCAAAGCAACTAATTATATATAGAATTGCATTTAAAGGATAATAAATCTCATTCAATTATCCTTTTTGTGAACGCTTGTTTCTCCTTCTTTTTTTTCTTTTGATAACCGTGGATATTCGGGCCAGTTTGCGTGCACCTCGATTAATCCCACGAGCCTTGAAGTTTACGGGCATGTACTTATCTCAGTGGTCCTGAGGGGACTCGAACTGGTGATCATTGGGGAACAAATTCAAGGCCTGACCAATTGAACAACCCCTCAAAGTTAAAGCATGTTTCTTCTTTAAGGACACATTCCTAACGCGCGATACATCTACTTTCCATGAATTTGTAAACAAAGACCCAAGTTGGATATTTCCCATTTTCAAATACACACCTATCTCGACAAGATAGGACCAAGAATAGTTTCATCCTATATTTTCTTGAAGTACTGAATGAAAGGGATGCAAACTTTATTTTCTTGCATTTCTCAATAAATATTCTGAAAGCTTGATTGCCATTTCTTCTGGAACTGTGTGAAGCTTCCAACGCAATTTCCTAGATAGCTAGTGATTAACATCTCCAGAGGATGTTTTACACCAAATTTGAATTGAGAAATAACACATTTGGAGACCCGTGGGACTATAAACTTCAAAATTTTAATTGTAAGCCAGCTACATTGTGTTCTTCCCTCCCTTTATAGAAAAGCCAAATATATGATTTTAGTTTGTTCTTAAATGTTTTCTTAATATATATTGCAGTGGATTTTCAAATGCATTGATATTTGTATCGCAATAAGAAATTTGACAAGTAATTTCTTATGCCTTGTCTAATTTATGTTTTTTGTTGAGTTTTCATGAAATCCTTGTTCTTGCATGGTCTATTCGGCAGAGTTTGTGAGGAATTTTACTATTTCCCGCAACAGAACAATAACCAGATACATTTTATTATCTAGTGTAAACATTAGTCTCAATTGGGCTTCTATTAGTCATGCCATGAAAGGACTGAGGGTCCTCTTGTGGAGCTTTTTTATTTTTGGTTTGTAATAAACTCTTGTTTAAAATTTTTTGAAACACTCAAAAGAGTTATTAAATGCAAAAACTGCAGAGTCACCAAGGCCTCCCTGGGCTTAAGTGCAAAGCACAGAATGAGAGTTAAACACATTGTGGTGAAACACAGAATGTCTATAAATGCATAGGTTTTGACAAATTCAGCAGAATAACAATCTCTTAGATCAACCAAAGATAATTTTAGGAATTATATCATGCCTTCTCTTTCGCTTTGGTTCTTAAGTCTCAATCTCATACAAGCACAGACTTCAGTGAAGTCCTGCGCCTCGAACAGAAAAATGCTCAAGAAATGCACCTCGCCACATTGTGTCTAATTGAAATTTTAACAGCTAGCAAGCACTTAACCAAAAAAAA